TCATGCTTATATCCCACCCATCGAGTTGTGGCCACTTTGAAATAACAAATGCAACCAATGAACCGCGAGTAAACCCATTCGAACACCTCTTTATAGCAACCAACCCACCAAATCTCAACAAAATCCGTACAAAATTCGCCATCGATAAAAACCTTGAATCATGATACGACATTAAAAATACAAAATACTAAAAAATATATTAATATGATCAAAAATAAACTTAAAATGCAAAATTCATACGATAACTTATAAAAGACTACAAAGTATATTTTAATGTACTACCCAGCGTCCTAAAATCCACTGTTATAAACAAATAAATCAACTATCGACCGGGATCAGACACATGAACTCCACGACCGCGGATAGTTATTTCAATTACTACGTAAACCAACTACGATGTTCATATAAAATAACTCTGGTCCAATCTGCGTGAACAATCCTTATCTAACTCTGTCAATCCTCTTCCAAACAAACATCATCCGCCAAAATTAACGATGTATATATGACGGAATAATTGTGTTAAAAAACGTTCTACATAATATAATCAAGTATCAACACAACTCTTAAAATTTCTAACCACCGTACACGACAATCCTAGCCATTGAACGGAAAATAAATCGAAAAACGCATTCATACCCGGTTAACTACGTCCAACAGATGAGCGCTCAATTCGATCCTATTTCCACGACGGTGCAGAAATCTTCAAAGATAAAAAAACCCCTGGAACGCTGAAAGAGAACATCCGAAAATATTATACACGATTTGGTATAACGGCCAATGATCTCACGTAATATTATTCCGTGATTTTAGGCAACGTATCAGCAAATCTCAAATCACGTATTAAAGGAATTAAATGCCGTTTAAAAATAAACGGGGTATTAAAGAAAAATTATATAATATATTTTGCCAAGTTGGCAAAATTGGGTCTATCTCAAAAAGTGGAAAAAAAATTGGATCTACCTCATTGGAAAATATGAACAAGGGGGTTATCCCTAATAAACCCAATTATAAATTATGAATGATCAAATCAAATATTCCAACGAATAAACTAAACAAAATTTCGAAATTGAAACAAGATGACCAAATCATTTATATATATTTTATATTTACATAAACCAATGTTCTCTTTTGATCATGATTGGTTGGAATATATAAAGGGTGCTTGGCTTCAACAACTTATAACAACTTACATGATATGAGTTTATAAGTTCTTTCAAAGTGTTTTTGTCGAAGTTTCTAAAAAAATGTTAAAAGTTAAAAAATAAGTTTGATTTGTTCTCGATCCTTTGATATAAGAGTTTGTTTGAGCCATTTTCACTATATGTTTTTAACATTTTCAATTAATTTTACTCGGGATTTTTTGGTATTTTTATTTTTTCTCCAAAACATCTAATTGCTTAGATTTTTTTTAATTTTCTGGAAAAAAAAAACTTTTATTTTTGTCATTTTGAATTTCTTTATTTTTCTTCTTAAATGTCTTCAGGTAGTTCAAATTCTCAACAATCATAGAATTGTAAAGATGTTTGTAATCTTAGGATGTTTGAACTAACCGGAAGACATTTAAGAATAAAAATGAAGAAATTGAAAATGACAAAAATAATAGGTTTTATTCAGAAAATTAAAAAAATCTAAGCAATTAGATGTTTTGGAGAAAAAAATATAAATACCAAAATTTCCAAAGTAAAATTAACTGAAAATGTTAAAAAATATAGTGGAAAATGGCTCAAACAATCCCTTATATATATAGGCTTTAACAAGGGTATTTTCGTCATATTTTGGAGAAAATATAACAGTAAGTAGTTTTTGTATTTATGTATAGTACATAGAGTATATGATACAAATTCCATAGTACATGGGTGTTTTTGTATTTAACCATTTATTATATCGAATCTTACCCTGTGTTTCAAAATGATCCTGCCTTTATGTTATAGAGATATCTTACCTTGAAGTCGTTTTACTTTTTAGGGATTTCACCTTAACTCTTTCTTGATCTGGACTTGCCGTTATCATAAACGAGATCATTTTGTATTTGGGCCTCATTTTATTTTCATATGGGCTTAGCCCATATAGCTGAAGTGAGACCCTATCAAGTATCAACTACCCCTGTCAACTATAATTCGTCCATATTCATCGAGCGTGTTCAATATAATTGATAGTTATAATTAATTTTTAGGATATTGTTAACATCTCAAATTTTAGAATGAATAATTTTCGCTAACATGTATATAAATCGACATGCTGACATTTTTCATTTTTAAATAAAGATCCATATCATGAATCATAGGTTTATTGATAGTCTATACTATTAAGTAGGGGTGGTAAACGAGTCGAGCCGACTCGTGAGCTCGACAAGCCGGTTCGTAAAAAGCTCGAACTCGGACTCGAGATTTTTGAGCTCGAGCTCGAGCCGATTTTTAGTTGTTTATGACCTCGCGAGCGAGCTCGCGAGCCTTATTTAATATTTTTTTTTTTTTTTTTTTTATATGTTATTTTTATTTAAATAATGTATAATAATATAAAATATAATAGAAATAAATACAAATATTAAAAATATATATAATTACAATTTAGTTTTTATTTTGTATTTTTTAAAATAATTTTTAATAATAAAATAATAATTAAAAAAATATTTAAAAAAAAAGAGCTTGGGCTCGAGCTCGACAAAATTGACACGAGCTTGAGCTCGAGCCAAAAAAAAAGAGGAACTCGACGAGCTCGAGCCAGCCAAAAGAGGCGAGTTCGGCTCGTTCACAGCCCCTAGCGTGAAAGTTAAAGCAATATATGTTCGTATCTCACTCTTGACTTTTTTTCTTTTTGACTTGTGCATAGAGGGTTTGTTTGGATACGTTGCTCATACTTATCGTCGATCTAATGTTTGTAGAACTTGTAAGATGAGACGAGAGCAACAGTTGATGAGGATGAACTCCATAGTGGTATATATGATCCCAGGTATGTTTTGCAATTTACGGGAAATTCTGATAAAAGTTTAGAATGTTGTGGTGTTCCGTAAAAACCTTTTAGTTTTAATCAATTCAATCGACTAGTTAATAGAATATACTTTTCTAGTTACGAAAAATTGCTTTCGAAAGGAAGATCGAGATGTATGACCAGGTTTCCGATTGTCTTTATATGTTGAATATAATGTTTCATTAGTCTTTTGAGGTCCTCTTTGTACTGCTTTAATGTACTAATGTTATTTTTCTTGTACTTTCGATTAATATTCCAGCTGGCAGAGCAAATTGTACAGGTTTTAAAACTTAAAACTACTCCATGAAATTCAATAGCTTTTGATTAATATGTCATGTATGATTATTTTATGTGTTAATGCATGCATCTCTGTAACAATTAGTCCATGCCATATAGTTATTGATCAACGATTCGTGCAAACTCATCTATTGTAGTCTCGATTACAAGAAAAACACGTTTATTAATCTATTATTCTCTTAATCATTAGTGAATTATAATTATCCAACGACTTGTTATCCAACCAGACTTTCACGCAATTTAGCGAAATGTTTGATGCTAGACAATTACTTCTAGAAGTTATATGCATAGTTGTCCAGAAAAAAAAAATTACAATAATCGAACAATTTCTCAAAATCGTCCCCATCTTCCTCTAAATGAGGCTTAATTCTACAAACCTCAAAACCATACGTTGAGTTCGATTGCTTTGGTGGCATCATTTTAGCTTGTACGGTAATGCATACAAATTTTTGTGTGCCTTGGTATAATTCTTTCGCATATGGATATGTACTTGGTCAAAATGTTTAGTTTATTCACTTCTCTATTATTACAATTGTGCAGATTTCGCCGCCATGGACTTCACAAGGTCTTCGTGTATTTGTGGATAATTGAGGCACGCACACAACACAGCACACTGTGGCACAAATTGGCCTTACAACGCACGCAAACAACACACTATGCTACGTCGCACTTTTGTGTTATGCTTTTGTTTGTCGTTTTAAGAATTTGACATGTAACATTAGCTTCGCAATATTGCTTGTACATTGGACGAAAATGCGTTTCATCAGTTGTTGAGCAGGTTGTGCATGATAATGTAGTAATGCCTGCATATTAGACGGAACACCATTGTGTTGATCGGTTTATTAGATGCTGCTACATCCGGTGAAATATGGTGAAATACAAGGGGTGATTTTAAACTGTAGATCTATATAAATAACCATACACTAAGTACACATATACATGGATGTGTGTTATTATGTATAGATCTACGGTTTAAATTCAAAAGTCATAGTTTTTAGAAATGCTAGTGTCGTTTTTATTACATTTGCTAATATAAATTGCTTTTGTCTAAAGCATTTTTTGCGGTCTTGCCTTAATTAAAGAAACGCCATTATTATACAAAAAATGTGCTGGAAATCACACAAATCACTTCTAAATAGTTAAAAATCGCATAAATCACCTCTAAATGTGGTAAAAATCGCACAAGTCACCCTCAAAATAAATACCGTAATTATCGTATCGGATATCGCAACATCGAGCAATATTTAACTGTATTTGATTACAATAGATACATATGCCGAGCCGTATCGCTTTCATAGAAATCGTATGATCTCGCTATTACATATCACGGTATACCGCGATATCGACAACACTTCATGTATCCACTATTCTTAAATTTAGTTTAATTTTGATTAATCTTGCTTCAAAAAATGACATATATTCTCACTAACTACCATAAATGGTGATTATAAATAATAATCAACTACCCCACTAGTAACACAAATAATAGTAAATCATATTACAATTTTATAATACATGCTAGAAACAAATAGGCCATGTATGAATGTGACATCTAAGGAATCTTTCAATGAGTCAAAGAAGCGTGCTTCATTTCATCATGCCTTTATTAAAAGCAATCAATTCAAACACATCACCTAAATCTAATAATCAAACTAATATATTATAATTACTATATTATTATTACTATTATTATTATATAATATTTATCATAAAGTAACACACACGCGCAACAAAAGGACCACAGAAATCATAATTCTTTTACAGTGACAACATTTTTATACATGTATAGCAGAGCATGTCAAACTTGAAATGGCGCCAATATTATCTTCAAAATAACAAAAAAAAAAAAGAAAACCCAAAAAACGAAAAAAAAAAAAACGAACAATACATACATCACAAGTCACATTTAAAAAAAATTACAAAAAAAACCCCGAAAGTAGGATGGCGGATTAGAGGGGGGCAAATGGGAGACTCCATTTTAATTTTCTTCGACCAAAAAAAACGAAACCAAGGAAAAAAAAGTGCAACGAGCCTTTGCGCATTTCCTGTCGACTCCACTCTAAGCCCACTTACTTCACCGCCCGTGTTAAAATAGCGTCCATTCCCCATTTCTTCTATGTACACAACCAACACATAGTTAGGCCTTCGGCCTAGCTTTGAAACTTTGCCATACACATATTAATAATAATAATTCAAGTTCCGTATAAAGAGATATAGATTCCTCCCGACACTTCGACCTGAAATCAATCAATTGTAAACAAAAAGTTCACGTGAGAACGAGTTTAGATCCGATCTTAACACCATTACGCATCTTTGCACCAGATCATAAATAATTAATACTTTAATTATCAAGACTTGTGTGTTTGTATAAAAAATACTCAAGACAAACAATCACCAACTCCTATAATCTAATTAATTATATATATATATGTAAAGATCGAGAGACAGTACGGCATTGCTGGTTATTAAATAAACAGAGCACCATTAAAGTAATTCGCTACGTCCAAAACTCGTGAAATTTCAGTCTCCGTATACGAATATCATAATCAAGAACACAAATCCTACGCATTAAAGCATTAGAGTAATATCCATGGAGACAATCGTATTACGAAACGAATCTATTCTCACGAACCTCCAAGACGTAAACTTAATAGGAAACGATACCACTCGTTTTCAGGCAACACTCGATGCGACTTTCCAACGGTTTCAAATTATTCAAAATGACACCATAATTAGCAATTATTCAACGAGCCAACGCCCCTTCACTCACCGAATCGACTCAATCGAATCAAACTCGAATATCAGAATCAAAGCTAAGCATGTAAAAAAAAGTGGCCTAACATCAATTTTATTTGTTTCAAGATTCTTGAAGTTGTCGATTCTAGTATAATCAATATTCAGTAAATCTACTAACGTAAAATCGATTCTCCGATATACAGTGAGTAAAAAAGGTGGAGTTAAGAATTATTACCCGGACACGAAAAAATTTCAGTCCCTGAAAATAACTTTCTCCGCCATATCGAGCAACGGCTGCAAGCAATCGGGCGAAAACTTCCTCGCGAACATAAACGGGTAACTAGAATTCGACTGACGCAGCTGGTGAATAAGCCGGGGCGAAACCTCGGGCGGGCGGTATGTATGCGGGTGCCCGCCCACGCTCCCGGTCCAATTAACCCGGGTCAGGGTATAATGCGTGCAGCCATCGGGATCCTCCATCGACAAAAGGGTCGGGAAATAATGCTCCTCCGGGTAGCACGAGTCGAGATTCAGGCACGGCAGTTTAAACTTCCTCCACAGCCTCCGATCCCTGATCACGACGAGCGCGTGCTGCCGGGTCAGAACGAAGAACTGCGACCCGACCCGGAACCGGGTGAAGGGGACCTCGGGCAGCATTACCTGTTTGCCCCTGGCGATGTATCGGTCCCATAGCTGCGGCTCGTCGTCTAGTATCTCGATGAAGCTCCGGTACAGGGAGGAGGAGGGTGATGACGTGGCGGCGGCGGGTTTGAAGATGAGGGAGTTGTAGACGTATTGGAAGGAATGGAGGGGGATGCAGTGCTGGGAGATGACGGCGAAGTAGGCGTTGAGGGGGTCGTCGAGGAGGGCGTTGGCGAGGAGGCGGCGGGCGGCGGAGATGAGGGTTGGGTTGGCGCGCTGGGTTTTTTTGGCGGCGACGAAGCGGCCGGAGAAGACGCCGCCGGGAGGGGAGACTTTGGAGAAGGGATCGGCGTGGATGTAGATGTTGTAGAGGGGGTCGTTGCCCCGGAAGAAGAGTTGCCAGAGGGGGGCGAAATGGAGATCGGTGTTGGTGAGGAAGAGGAAGGCGATTTTGGGTTTGGCGGTGGCGGTGGCGGAGGAGGCGGCGTTGTCGGAGAGGGAGGCGAGGGTGGCGCGGCGGAAGAGGGCGAGGTCGTCGAGCTCGTCGGGGAGGGAGATTTCGACGTGGCGCTGCGGGAGGAATCGTGGGACGAAGAGGAAGAGCAGTGGGAATGAGAGGAGGAGAGATAAGGAGAGGAGGAAATGTGCGTTAAACATAGCCAAATTCAAATTCAAATTCAAATTCAAATTCAGAGAATTTAAGGGAATGGGGGTTTGAAGGAAGAAGAAGAAGAAACGAAAATGGAGGAAGAAGTTATGGCGGAGGAGAGGTGGTGGTGGTGGCGGTCTTCTTATCCTGCACAACAAATGGTGGATTGTGATTTTTGATTGTGATTGTGATTGGATGAAAGCTTTCTTTGTTTTTTATTTATTTATTTATTTATTTATTTTATTTTTATATTATTTAATTGGGAATTGGATAGAGGGGAAAAGGACAAGATGGTTGGGGGAAAGTGAGGTCGTGAAAGTGAAATTTTGGAAGGATTATGATTTAATTCTAGGGTAAATTATAACCACACCCCTGAGGTATGGTTAAATTACGAAAACTCTCATTCTTGTTTGGGTAATTACAATCATCCCTCAACTATAATTATTCTTACATGTACGCCCTTGCGGTTTCAAATTTAGTTGAATCTTCTAGGTTATACGGAATATTCTCACTTTTGAACCCGTTTTATCCTATTCGAGCTCTACATTTTGAAGCTAGATGATCATAAGATGTGGTTTTTGGCTTGTATGTATTAGATTGTGGTGCACCAGAAACTGTATTTTAGCACAAAACGAGTACGAACTAGAGAATATTCCACTGAATGTAGATGATTATGTTAAATTTGACACCATAAGAGTGGAGATGTAAGAATATTCATAATTAAGGAGAGTAGATGTAATTATCCAAATAAAATGATTTTTTTCTAATTTGATAATACTTTAAGAATACTTTAGTGGTGGTTGTAATTGACCTTAATTCTATAATTTAAGGTATATATATTTAAAAAATATTAAAATGTGACTATCACGCTACGTCAATATATTTATTACAAAATAATAAATAAGAATACATTGTCGACAATCGACATTCATTCATTTCTTTAATTACTGGTTGAAAAATAATATTAAAGATATATGAATGAGATATATTCAAAAATATTTAATTATCAATGTTTTGTTTTAAATTGAGAATATAAATCGTCTTTAATCACATCACGCGTACGCACCTGATTACATACACATATATTATTATGGATATATTACGAAAACCCCCTTCAATTTTGGCTAAATTACAAAAAATAGTTATGTAATTACCGAAATCTCCCCGACGTTTGTTTCCATCTTACGCCGACCGACTCCCTTACAATATGATTTTTCATGGAATTTTTTTTTATTCAAAGTATTATTTCCCAAAAAATGTCGATTCTACCCCTACAAACGTGACATTTTTGTATGCTATTTTTTTAAAGAAAAAAATTACCCTTAGGGAGCATTAACACGAAATTTTTACTTGTTCTTAAATAACACATTGAGAACTTTTTACCATTACATATATGAGGGTAATTTTTGTCTTTAAAAAGTAGTATGAAGAAATGTTACGTCTGTAGATGTAGAAACAATATTTTTCGGGAAATATTTCTTTGAATAATAAAGATTTCGTGAGAAATCAGACTGTAAAAGGGTTGGTTGGTGTAAGACGGAAACAAACGTCGGGAGGATTTTGACAATTATGGATAGGTGGGATGTTTTTTCATAATTTAGCCTAAGTTCAAGACAGTTTTCGTAATTTCCCCTATTATTTATTACCACAAAAATAGACTAGTACGAATCCAATTATACATTCCTCTCTCATGAAAAATAAAAAATAAAAATAACTATTAATCCAATTCTACATTTATTTTAATTCAATAAGTCACATTTGGACCATGGCAACATTGTTGAAAACCTTTGGTGCTCGTTATTATAATTGAGAAATTACAACTATCTTCTTGAGGTATGATCAAATTACGAAAAAAATTCTCATGTTTGGATAATTACATCTACGGTCTATTCCTCAACTATAAATCTTCGTACACCTTCACCCCTATGGTGTCAAATTCCACATAATCATCTAAATCCGTGGAATGTGCTCTAGTTTGTACTCGTTTTGTGCAAAAATACAGTTTCTGATGCACTACAATTTGATATATACAAGCCAAAAAACACATCTTATGATCATTTTGCTTCAAAATGTGAAGCTCGAATGGGATAAAACAGGTACAAACTTGAGAATATTCCATATAATCTTGAAGATTGCACTAAATTTGAAACTGCAATGGTGGACATGTAAGAAGATTTATAGTTGAGGAGGTGGTTGTAATTACCCAAACAGGAAAGAGGTTTTCCTAATTTAACGGGTTTTTGGCACTTTGCACCCTTGAATTACACCATTTTGGCACTTTGCACCCTTCAATTACAAAATTGGCAGATTGCACCCTTTAAACATAAATTGTTTGGCACTTTGCACCCCAAATCACTTTTGGCTTAGAAAAATTACCTGCAACTTGTTGAAAACCTGAAAGATGGGCAAATTCGCAATTCTCAAATTATCTATCTTCTTCCCCCAATTCTTAATATCGTTCCACCATTTTTATATTTCGTCCTATTAATAAAAAAATCATAAATTCTTCTTACCCGTTTCTATTTGCCATAATATGTAAATTCTCAACTAAAATTCAAGAATGGTCGGGAATATATAGACAAGAGTCCGATAACACACCTCCAAAAAATCAAGTTTTATTCCATGGTAACGCTATTTTTTTTTTATAATTTTTTCAGATCCAAACTATTCAATGGGAGCACAAAAATATTTCCATCATGTAACTAATAGGCATCACCTTTCTACCACCAGATAAACTTCTCAGTAGCCTTATTTTGTCATTTGACTATTCAAAAAAAAAAAAGTTGAGGGCTCAATCTAAAATTTCCAGTTACATTATTTTTCATACTCAAAATAAAAAAATAAAAAGTGATTTACAATTATTGTTTAGTGTTTATACCGTTTTTACCATTGAAAGAAATGACTAAAAAGATTTTAGAATTTTTTTGATTGAAGGGACGAAAGATAAAAATGGTGGAACGTGTAAGTTTTATTTTATTTAATGGCCCATTAACCTTTGAATTTAAATTTATTAATTGTGGGTAATTCAATTATGGTATTAAGGTGATTTTATGGTAATTGATTTGTATGGCAATAAAAGACCATGATGGGTGGGATTTGTCTTCTGCCGTTACAAATCAATCGTGACCCTCTTCTCTCGTCTATAAAAGAATCCACAACTCTTCTTCTCAACATCAGACGCAATTTTAAAGTTAAATAAAAGTCTTTCAATTGGTATCAGAGCAGGGTTTTGAAATCAATTGGTGTATTTGTATGTTATAACTGCATAACAGAATTTATACTTTTGTAAGCTGAACTATGTGCGATATGATAAAGTTTATTGTGCATGTATTGAATTTTAATTATTCTGTGACATACATCATTCTGTTAATGTATCACATGACCTAAATTATTTCTTTTGCAAAATAATTGTTACTGTTATGATTATTTATCCCATGGCTAATTTGCAATTAAAGGTATCACTTAAATTAAAATGACGAGAATATTATTAGTCTTATATTTATGAAATTTACTAATCTTGTAGTTGCTAAAGTGACCTAGATTAGTAAAATCTAATAAATATAAGAACTATATGAAAGTTTAATCATTTACATGATATTAAAGATTATAATATTCTCAAATTGCAGTTATAATTAAGAAATTGAGACTAGCTCAAAGAATAGTCGATTTTAATTAATTATGAACTGGGTAGAGTGTCATAATTTATATTACTTAGCAATTAGAATTGTTTACCTAAAGGTAACATGACTAATTGACGAGTGAGATAAATTATGTTAGACCCTACTTAGGTGTTATAAAAGATCGTTTACACCAACATAGAGTGAACAATAGGTATACTATATTTCACCCAAAGGAGAACTTGTAGTGATATCGATAGTTCATCTTATTTGACTCAAGGTCTTATGTGAGCATCTTTTTATCTTTACCTTATTATATTTGCTATATTTATTTCAGTTGCTATTCCTACTTCATTGTACTCGCATGCTTCTGGTATTACGACAATCAATGGGTCAAATTTCTCCGAATGGTATGAACAAATTCAATTCACCTTGGGTGTTATGGATTTGGACCTAGCATTGCTTACAGAAAAACCTGGGCAAATAATGGATGCTAACAGTGAGGGAGAAGTTAGCCTAATTGAAGCCTGGACCAAGTCCAATAGGCTTAGTCTTATGCTTATTAGAATGACTGTTGCTAATAATATTAAGACTTCTCTTCCCGAGGTTGACAATGCTATGGAACTGTTAACGGCTATTAAAGAACGCTTTAAATCAGCAGACAGGTCGTTAGCAGGGACACTCATGGCTGAATTGACTACCATGAAATATGGTGGTGATAAGGGTATTCATGAACATATCCTGAATATGACTGATAAGGCTGCCAAACATGGAGCTCTTCCTTGTGCAATTTATCCTTAACTCACTTCCATCAAAGTTTGGCCCATTCAAAATCCACTATAATACTCAAAAAGATAAGTGGAATTTGAATGAGCTGACTAGTATGTGTATTCAAGAGGAAGTGAGATTAAAGCAAGAAGGAAATCACTTTGCATTGGCCGTAACTCATGGAAGTATGAATAAGAAAGGGAAATTTGTGAAAAGTGGAAAGAAATTCGCACCAAACAAAAGATATGAACTTGGTGAAAGTAGTCAAGGTCATGGAAAGGCTTTTGTTGTCACCTGTTACTTTTGTAACAAGAAGGGACACGTAAAGAAGGATTGTGAGAAACGTAAGGCTTGGTTCGAAAAGAAAGGTATTCATATTTCTTTTGTATGTTATGAATCAAATCTTATTGAAGTTCCTTCTTACACTTGGTGGCTTGATTCTGGTGCTACAACTCATATCACAAATTCATTACATGGATTCCTTACAACTCGGAAACTGGAGGAAAGTGAAAAGTACATCTATATGGGGAACCGTCTCAAATCTAAAGTGGCGTTTGTTGGCACTTATCGCCTCATATTAGAGACGGGTCACAAGATGGATCTTGAAAACACCTTTTATGTACCTTCGTTTTCTAGGAATTTGGTTTCTTTGTCAAAACTGGATGTGTGTGGTTATTCTGCTTTAATTGGTTGTGGAAAACTCAATTTTATGTTTAATTCAATAATAATTGGTTCCGATATTTTATGTGATAGTTTATATAAAATATCTTTGAATCATGAGTTTG